GGTCACTCGCCTTGGAAAATCAATGGGAAGTAATGCCGGTACTCTTAAAATATGGTAAAGATATAACCAAAAATCCACTAAAATTCTCCAAACAATGCTGTTTGCTCATAATTCATAATACTACTTTCCACTTTCGTTGGAACATTAGTATAGGGCGAGACGAAGTTTTGGGTACACCTATGAAACGACACGCCCGAATTTTAGCGAAATCGAAGTGTATCCGAGTCAAGGTCGAACCTGTCGTCCACGTGCCGAATCGCAGTCGCTCGCCAGCGGCATTTTTTTTGTTCCATTCCTCATCAAAAGATTCGCAACTAACCGTGGCGGTACCGAACGCTACTGCACGGCTACGAGGAGACTGACCTTGACTGGATTTCGTTATACAACTAGAATCAACATATAGGGCACAAATTCACATTATTTATTTGACGCATTTTTGCTATCGTGCAATGAAATTGCGGGCACATTTATCGATCTAAAATATAGATGCCGTTACAGACCGAAAAGTGCCTATTCGAATAATTCAAGTTGATGGAAATACCAATATTAACTAGACGCGCCTCGCACACATCCTTCATGTTTCTAGACACTTGACATATACAGGGTGGCGCATCGAGAACGAAACAGACGCATTTACTGGCAGCTCAGTTTTTTTTAAAACGCTGAGACCCTTCGATTTTGTTTTCGAGGGGGACACAAGTTTGGCAAAAAAAACACGTTAGCACGTGTAGTCCCCTAAGCGGGGGTGACACCACCCCCAAAATCTTAAAAGGAAAGGGGAGTCGAGTGATACCTTATTTTAAAGGTCTTTCAATAATGATATAAAATTAATGTACTTCAGTTCAGTAGTTTTGAAGATTTATTAATTTAAAGCTTAAATAAAACTAATACATCATTAGTGGAGATCAATACATTTGGAAGCAAAGTAATTTAAAAATGAAGAATGAACTGACCCGTTAGGCAAGTAAATGTTGAAAATGGCCACCATGAGTCTCCATGCAATAATAAAGATTTTGCTAAAAACGTTGCCGCACATTTTGCAATATTTGAGGAGTAATTTGAAGGCACTCATTCACAATTCTTTGTCGCAGGTCTTCCAATGATGTTGGCTGAGTAGCATAGATTTTGCTTTTAAATGACCCCGCACAAGGAAATCCAAAGGTGATAAATCTGGTGATCTTGGGGGCCATTCAATGGCACCTCTTCTACCAATTCATCGATCTGGAAACGTCTGATCTAAATATTGTCGAACACGTAATGCGTAATGTGGTGGGGCACACCATCCTATTCGCGATGTACCGCCGATCATTCTGATTTTCAATTATGGCGGTTAATGCAGGATCTATGGCGTCTTCCAGTAAATCCAAATACATTTCACCGGTCAAATTTCCAGGCAAGAAAAAAGGACCAACTAAATGATCGCCAAAAATACCAGCCCAAACATTTAATTTTTGTGACTGCTGTGTATCAACCTCATGATAAATTCTAGGATTAGAATCGGACCAATATCGGCAGTTATGACGACTTACTACGCCATTTAAGAAAAAGGAACATTCGTCAGAAAAGCAAGTGTTGTATAGAAAATGATCATCGTTTATAATTCGTTCACTCATATCTTCACAAAATTGTAATCGCCGATCGAAATCGTCTTCAATAAGTTCTTGTACCAGGTGAATTTTATACGGATGAAAACTATGGGCCTTTAGAATACGTTGGACAGTACATCGACTAACACCACACACACTCTCCAATTTGAGGGGTACTTAACGTAGGATCTACATAAAGTTGCTCTAAAACTCCACCTTTTATTGCCTCGTTTCTTATGGGATTTTCAATGTTGCGTTTTTTATTGGCGACTGACCCAGTTTTCAGAAATTTAGCTACAAATTCTAGAACATATTTTCGATGCACGTTACTGTTTTCATGTCGCTCATTAAATATTTCTGCTGTTCTATTAGCGCACTGATTATTTCCGAAAAATATTTCGATAATTTCAACTTTTGCTGCTGTGGAATATACCATGGTTAATTTATATTTTAATAAAGTGTTACAAGTTATTTTAGCAACAAAGTTTGGTCGAATCAATCGCAAACTATGTACTAAATTCCTATTTAAAATATGTAGGCGATATTTCCTTATCTTTCTTCAAGAAATAACTTTTTCGCCACAAAAAAAAAAATGCTCCAATAGCTATTTTCAACAACAAAATGATAAACAAACCATGGGCGTAGTGAAGAAAAGCATTTATTTATTAAGTAAATTTCTGATCGTTTTACAAAAAAAAAAAAAAACTGAGCTGCCAGTAAATGCGTCTGTTTCGTTTTCGATGCGCCACCCTGTATATGAACAAATGCCTTGGATTCATCCAAAGTGAACTGATTATTATTGTTAATATTTATTACCTCATCACAGGTGGAGGTGTCGATAACAGTCGTTGTTTTTTGCCGTTTAAATAGTCGATGAGCCCAGTACTTGTTCCGACTTTTGAGATGGAAAATTTAAACACGCTTTTACGTCGTAATTTACTATGCTGTGAATGGAAAATTTTATTACATATTATGTATACAGAAATATTGCCACTTTCGCAGACTATCAGTTCAAATATCGGTAACATCTTTCACTTGCACATCTATGGTAATGGACAAAAGTATATAGACAAATATGAGTATTTACCTAAATACCTTTAGAAACCGAATTCATACTTCATTGTTCCATAAACAAATGCGTAGAAAAACTAAATTCCTTGTTTTTAGATTATCGTGTCAGAGGAGGATTAGTTTGTATTCATGGAAAAATTGAGTGATTTTAAGACCATGCCGCGTGGTCCAGAAATTTCTTTCGATGTGAAAACTAAGATCATTGAGTTATACAAAGTTGGTCAAGGCCAAGTCGACATTGCCAAAAATTTGAAGCTGAAGCGTAAAGCAGTTTGGGCAATATTGAACAAATATAAACAAAAAGGTATATTGGAAGCCCTCTAAGAGAAATGGTCGGCCTAGAAAACTAAAAGCTAGATCAGTTAGATTAATAAAAGTAATTTCGTCCAAAGATCCGTCTGAAACCCCAAGACAAATTAAAGCCGAAATCGAGACAAAAAGAACTGTCAGTGTTTCTACGAAAAGTATAAGTAGAAGATTAAATGATTTGAAGTTATTTGCACGTCGCCCGAGTAAGAAGCCGCTAATTTCGAGAAAAAACCGTAAGGACCGATTACAATTTACACGGTTGCATCTTGATTGGAGCATCTGTAACTGGAAGAGGGTATGTTTCAGTGACGAATCCAAGTTCAATATGTTTGGATCAGATGGTGTTCATTACGTTAGACGTCCTAGTGGACAAAGATTGAACCCCAAGTACACTTTGAGCACTGTTAAACATGGAGGCGGGTCTGTTATGGTTTGGGATGGGACCTTTACATAGAATAGATGGCATTATGGATTAGACATACTAAAGCATGTTACCCTATATGCAAGACAATATGCCCTTAAGAGCAATCTTCCAGCAAGATAATGACCGGAAACACACTTCAAATCTCGAAAAGAAATTCTTTGTGGATGAATAAGGATGGACTATTATTTTGTAACTGCATTCGCGAAAATCAAATGTTTGAAACACACAGTGAACATTTTTGTTCCATACTGTACACTATCAGATTCAATTCAACCTGAACTGATGAGTTAATAATGAAGGATACATAATATAATATTTATAAATAGCACGATACGATTACATAACTTTTATAGCAGGTATTGTCAAACATATATGAGAACTGTTGGGAAAATTACATTCACAATACGCTCAGGTAGAATGTCAGACGCTATTCTAATAAATATTTGAAGATAATTTAAGGGTTTTTCGTGGAAGCTATTATAAAAATAAAAAAGTATTTGTTAAACGGCCACGTATTTGAACCGTATTTGAACACCTGCATAAAATCATAACAAAAAAACTATTCAGTACATATGTATTTTTTTATTTATTGAAAACCATCACCATGGAAATCAAGCAACAATGAAAGGTCATTGAAATCAAAATTTAGCTCCCACTATTATTGGGATCTCATCATTAGTCATAATAGGATTTTTTTTACCTTTAGAATATTGTTATGTTTTTGTATGGGAATTCTTTCTCAGGATTTCATTTTCGATTATTCCTTTTGATTTGTGTTGTACGTAAACCCAAAACACAGTTTTACTTCAGTTGTATCATTTGATAAACTAACCGCGCTTTAATACCCTACAGTTCAAGATTGTTCAACAAGTGCGTTTTCGTTTTTTTTTCTGGATAAAATGGGTAAAACTAGAGAATATTCCAAGGAGTTATGATTGGTCTTCATAAATCGGGCAAAAGTGTTCTAGATATTTCTAAACTTCAGAAGGTACCACTATCATCTGTACACACATTGTCATGAAATTCGAGGGTCAAGGCACAACATCGAATAGCTAGGGAGATCTAGAGTTACAACTTCCACTGAAGACTTAATTAAGCATGTCACACATCCAAGTTCTGTAAAGAATTTTTGGCAGCAAAAGAAGAGTACAACATTTTTAAAGTCATGCAATGGCCTCCCGAATCCCCGGATTTGAATCCGATAGAGTTGCTGCGAGATGAACTGGACAGACAAGTACGGAAATTTACAATATTACAAGACGGATGACTTTAGAAAGATTAGTTGCGCGTTTATCCATCATTTGCCGGGCTGTAATTAAAAGTAAAGGACATATTGAAGGGTTAAAAATATGATTATTCCGATTATAAATAGCTGTACGTTGTTACGAATTAAAAATAAATGTTTCATACAGATATTGCAATGTTTTCTTTAATAAATACCATCAGTTTCCTGTTTCCTGGGTGTTCAAATACTTTTGAACGATAGTGTACATGTCGCGATTACAATAAATTTTGTATCTTTGATGAAGGATAATTTTGCATTGTTTTTTTTTATTCACAACGATACGCTGCCTTAACGAATATGCATACCTATAAAACGGTGTACTTACAATCTACTAGATGATTCCATAGCGGCCTCGTCGCCCTCTATGCGGTACACCTTCCCGGACATGACGTATTCGAAACTGTCCGCTCTGCTTCCCTCGTTTTCCAGTCCTTGCGGATTCCAGTCGCCGGCGTCCGGGTAACCGTCTTCACGTAGCGTCGTCGCCAACACCAAACGGAACTTGTCACCTGCAACAAGCGCAAAACTAATTACCGATAAAATGCAACGTGTGGGATACAGCTTAATATACGGTTGACTTTTACAAGATAATAATAGAAAATTTGAAATGATCGTGTATTGTGCATCTTGTATATTTTGGTCGATGACGAGTAGATGAATGAAAAATGCATTTTTATCTATACCGTAATTGCGAATATATTTTCGAGAGACCATGAAATTTTTGTTTGTCTTTTAACAACAAATAATTCCAATATGTAATAATAATAATAATATGTATTTATGTGTACGCTTTGAAGTTCCAAAGCTACTTAAAATAATTTGAAGAGTGGGCACTTTAAAATCCGAATTGTTATAAACACATGCGATACTGATATTAATATTGAACATTTGAGGTTTCATTTTAATGAACCTATTGATGTATCTAATATACGCCAGAGTTAGGGCCAATTTCACCAACAACAGTCCGTTATTCTCCACCTATAGGGTAACAGAGCGTCAAGTACAACGAATGAGCTTCAAGTTCCAATCAACAAAATTTAGCAACCAATAGCTATGAAATGTTGAAAACAAAATATTGTCAAAGTATGAGATGACAGCTTGTCATTGAAACATCACTAGCTTATTGAATATTAAGAAATTACATATAATTCAGTCAAAATTTAAAGAAATGTTGGATTTTTGAATAAAATTCATGTTTTAATTACTATTGTTGATTTTTTATTCATGTTTATATTATTTTCTTCAATTGATATGCGATACTGGGTGTTTTTTCCTATAAACCTCTTGCAGATAGCCATTAAGCAGCCACTTGATGACAGGCCCTACCAAAAGATATTGCTCGTTTCCAAACATACATTCATTTACTTGCCTTTCATCAGAACCATTATGACACCTTAGATTGATATTCCCACAAAACCATTCAGGTTTTTTGATATCCATACATCCATAAAGTTGAACATTTTTCGTTGATCAGGAACTGAACAAACATCCACACTATATTCACAGCGATTAAGAAATTCCCAAATATATGCCTTAAAGCTACCAGCAAACCTAAAACCTGCAAAAAAAAACTACAAATTTGCCATATTTTTTTTACGAGTACACATTCTAGGTTATATTTACGAGGCATGTTTTTAAAGTAAGTACCGTTTTGACCTAAAAAAACAACAAGTAAGTTTTGTCCAAAAATGATTTATTCACTTGAAAGGCCATACTTTCCTCTACTTTTCTACGTAATTCCCATTACGATTGAGGCATTTATCGTATCTTGGGACCAGCTTTTGTATGCCATCGTCAAAGAAGCTTGCCGCCTGAGTAAACAACCACTGCTTTACATTTTTGGCACTCAGGGTGAACACAATTTCCGATAATTTAAACGTTCGGACACAATTCGTAAAGAACGCTTCTTGAGACAGCAGGAAACTGTTCAGCTAAGGACGAAATCGTGAATCGTCTGTTCTCTCTCACTTTACAGTCCACTTTTTGAATCAGGTCATCGGTAATGACTGAAGGTCTTCCTCATCTTTAAAGGCCCTAACCCATTTCCGCACCATTCCATCACTCATAATGTTTTCACCATACACTTCACTGACTTGGTGACGGATTTCAACTGATTTGAAGCCTTGTGCACAGGGAAACCGTATTACAGCACGCACTTCGCAGGCGGCGGGTTTCTCAATCGGTGGAGGCATTTTAAAATCACGCAAACAGATGTAGACTCGATCGGATGGTTCCGTAACGGCGTCTGTCGCTACCCAACAGATGTAGCTTGTAGCTACACGACGCGCGTGCGCTAAACGGCGACCGCAGCGCTGCGGCGGCGTAATTTAAAAACGGTACTTACTTTAAAAACACGCCTCGTATATTAGACATTATTTGAATACAGCTGATTATTGCATTTCAAGGAGTGACACATGTGTGGGATCTGTCAACTCTTGGTACCAGTCACAAAACATATACTCTGAAGGTTTAATTCCATGCTATTCAATGACAACACAGTGACTTTTGTGGTTGACAGCGGCCATTTTGTGAGGGTGCGACAGGGTTGCCAGATTGTGCATTAATATCCCGTTTCACCCTCCTGGTCCCAGTGGAGTAAGTTCGGCCAACTGTTGAAATATACTCTACTATCTTTATAAGACTATTCGTGACATTTTTCTCAAAATCATTGCACAACACTTGAAAAACGGCAAATGAAAATTTAAAATTATTTCCATGACGCCGCAAAATAGCTCCATCTGTACCTTGGGTTATACATCTTGACAGTAGGGATGTTCGATACGATCCTATATTTAGAAATATCAATACATTTCACGAGTATCGTCATCTTTCGATCCGGACTGTGTCAGAAAGAGTGACTGCCATTTGGCTGCGACATTACCCTGCCAAATCAGACATATCTTTCATCATTTTCAAAGAAATTGTACAAAATCTTCAAATTTGTGAACTTAGCGAGTTTCACTTCATACGTTGTTACCAGACATGCCCAAATCATCAGTTGCTGCCGTGATATTCATCCCGACCACTGCATCCCCACGGCTAGACGACCTGTATGTTAAATTTGTATTGATAGGGCAGCGGGTTATGCTATAAATCATATGTCACAGTGTTTGTGCTCTGATTGCAACGGTTAGAAAATATTTTCATAAATAGGAGATCTTTCCCATTCCGGATCGAACAATCTACCAATCATGATACCTAGTAAATTTTCACGAAAAAAATTCAACACCAGCAAATGTAAGAGATTCAGTTCTCAGCCTCCACCACGGGACGTGATCGTCGTTAGACTTGGCAACCCTGCGAGTGACAGATAGATATCCCCGCCAATAAAAAAGACAAACAATAAACATTACTAGTTTTTATGATTTTTGGACTTAAAAGACATTATTTGTGAAGCATTTTTCATAATTTTTTGTCTATGTCCATAGTAATTGCATTATGCATTAGGGAGATGTAGAGATTGACACGTATTACACATATTATCTGTGTTTTAGGATGGAGAGGACATAATGTTTTTATTGCTTTGAAGAAATTCATTAACCCATAAATTAATAAATGATTACTATTATGACGTAAAGGAAGACGAGGAATTGGATGGAATGTATTTTATATTCTATTTTCTTGCAAAATACAGACAAATCCACACTATTCAACAGGTATGTACTGATAACTTTCAGCATATTGAAGTTGGTAAATTCGAAAGTGCCATCCATTAACAAACGTCCAAATCTGCTGCCAAATGTAACAGCTAGAAAATCGACCTATTATTTGCCGCATTCCCATTCGCTGAAGGGGATAACGGATTGTTAAATGTAAACCTATAACATATATCAAAATACATGAAAGTTGTCCTGTTTTTTCTGTACAAAAGCATCATGTTGGAATCAAAAAGTGGTCTTGTTTATAATACAGTCGAATTTTCACGATTTTATTCAACATTTTAATAGAAATCACTAATATTCAGAGACCTTCGACAGCTTCTGTCAAATTGCATTTCGATAAGGTATTTTCCCATTGGTCCATAATATTAATGTTGGTGAAATTGGGCCTAAATAAAGTAAAACCGCAGGATCTCGATATGATTTTCAGCGAGGTCGTCTGTAATTGCGATTTGCAACCGTCCACCGGGATTCGCGATCACACAAACACTGTAACAAGAGATTTTCTACTTCCGGTTCCCTTTCATATTTCCGGTCTCTCGAAAAGGGTGAGCTTGACCTTGAAATGCCTAACACCTGACAATTTGCACGTTTGGTGTTTTGTTGCATTTGGAGGTATCGCTAGCGTGGTATTGTAGATTTTAGATCAGTTAATTAAAAAAAAACAGAGTATTATCTTATTTTATAAGCAATATACGACAACCGTAAACGACGGAATTTTTAAAGTAACGTGCTCTAATTTCAGCTTGTTTGATGCCGGTGTCTGCGAGTAGTGAGTAAATAGCAGAAGCACCGATTTCCACGTTAGCTGACGGTCATACGGGTGTTCGATTATCGGAAAATTATTTAATTATAGTTTCAACTAAAAATAGTTTTGAATCGGTCATTCTTTCTCTTTTACTCGTACTCGTACACCACTCGTACGCTATTTATGAGAAATTCTCTTTCACGGAACTGTTTCGGTTACATTTCTTACGGTTCTCGTTAATTCGGTCATACAAACATAGAAAATATCAAATCACTGACAACTGGCAGAAAAATTCGTTCAAGCAGAATCAAATTTGAAATCGTCTGAAAGTAGAAAGAGTGTCAAATCGTCGGAAATGTGTAAATTGTAAATCCTGCTGAGAACGAGCGACGCCGGCGACAACAGCAAGTGAAGGAAGCACCACGCTCCGTGTACATGTTCAAGTTTAAAACGCCGCGCTTGCGGTAGGTCACGGCCAACGCGGATGCGCGAACGCCGAACGGCCTCCTGCGATCGATTCCGAGCATGTCTGCTGCCGCACAGGAAAATATCCAACATCAGCTGATGCTCCTGCTCATCATGATGGTCGTGGCCTGGCATAGGGCCAAAGGGCGCGGCCGACACCCACCACACGCTTCTTCATACACGATAAAAACTCGATCATTTCCGAAGCGGAGTATTCGACAATGTGATTTTTGATATCGGTACGATTCATTTATTATTTTTTTGGTTGTTCAACGCGTGAGAGAAGCTTTGTTGAAATTTGAAAATAGGACGTCATTTTCTCCATCCAATTTTCAAAACCCAAATAGATACGTTACTTTGTATGCTGCACTCATGTGCAAGAAGCTGAAACTAACGACCCATGCACATTGTTGCCAATATTATTATGAGCAAAATATACATTGCTTTGCTTATTTTGGATGATATGGGGGGTAGGGAGTCTAGATGATGATTACGTCATCGGTAGTTATTTACTTTTTTACACGAATGGCAACCCTCACATTGTCTTTGCTTGAAAAGGAAACGTCTTTTCGGGGATTCCCGCAAATAATGCATACGTTTAGTGAACAGCGCGCGGTAATTCCCCTACTCGCTTTAGAACCGAGTAGGGGAATT